GGTATCTTCTATGTTGGCAGGGTATTATAGCTTTGTGTAGCCTCAAGAGTTTGTAATGCCGCGAAATATTTCCTATACCCACCTTTAAGTGTAGCAATCATCATATCCCGACTAGCTGAGTCGATCTAGACATGTGTGTCCGTCCGTCCGTCTGTCCATTATAATTTGTAAACACGATACAGGCCACAGTTATGGACCAATCTTCACAAAATTTTGCATGTAGGATGGGTTCTGGCCAATGAAGACCCCTATTGAATGGACCAAATATAAAATTTTTGTTGGGTTTTCTGTTCGCTCCGCAGTTATGGTCAAAGACGACGCATATTATTTTCGGTGATGTTGAGATGATATTTGGGGGATGAAATGGATCGAAAACTTTTTTAATGGTTTTTTTTTCTAGTCTGTATTGGATATTTCATTCAGGAATTCCATAAGAATGTGAATCTGGTCAGTTTTGGACCTTTCTATAATAAGCGGAAGACCTTTCTACAAGTACTATCAAAAAACCCTCGAAAAGAATTATTCCTGGAAAAAATACCATCTTTTTTCTATTATTTAATCTTTTAAATTATTTTCATAATTGCGAACAATCATATTTTTTTGGTTTTGTTCAATTCTGAACACAAACTCTTTTCTTTCATTAAATCCTTGCTTGCTATTTCAGGGGGGTCAAGGAGAAGAGAGAGTGTGGAAAATAAAACCAGTTATATTTTTGCAAACATCTGTTTCATAGTATCTCTCTGTAATATCTGCTCAAGTGTCGTCAACATATATCAAAACTTGAAGTGAATACTTCTTGGCAAACAATGCTGCCATTAAATAACACCCTCAGATGGATATTTTGTGTGTTTGTTCGTAAATCAACTCAACTTCCACCCAGACAAAAAATAACCGAAAAAACAAAAGGACTGTGTTTTATGACAACAAATAGCCTTCCATGTGTTTTTTTTTTTTTTTTTTGGAAATATAGTTGAACCCAGAAAAAAACCAAAAAAATTGTCACATTTGGTGTAATGGCCAAAATGTTGGCAGGCTTTATTTCTTTATTTTTGTTGGGGGCGATTTTGCGTGCCAAATACTAATGATTTGTGGTCGAATAGACCCAATGACACTTTCAGGTTGGGTAGTTTTTTTGATGAAATTAAAAAAAAATACATTTTAGTTGCAATTTTTTTTCCAAGCCTAAATTCGTTCATCTGTTGCGAAAAAAACCCAACAACAATGAAATGTAAATTATTATTATTTTTTCTTCACACCTTACAAGTGTAAATTTACAAATGTTTACTAGTTGTGTGTTAGTTTGTTGATTTTTTTTCATTGAATGAACATTCAGTTTACGGTTCAGGGCCATTCATTTCATTTGACTTTTGTCAGCTAGCCCGCACCAGTCCTCCAGCCCTTGGGGGGGCTAACTCGTATACTAAACATTAAACAACAACAGCAACAAAAAAGGTAAATAAATAAAAAAGGACCCCAAATGTTGAAAAATTACCCTAATGGGACATGGTTAGGGAATACTAAATTAAGTTCTATTTTTGTTGTTGTTGTTGTACTTTTTTGCAAAAGAAAAGAGAAACATATGTTAAATTAATGGGAGGAATTTATAAATTATGCATGAATTCAAGTAGGCCACACAAACTCATGGAAAAAAGACTAACATGGGAGGTAATTCGAAAAAATGGCAAGGATGTCTTTTTAAAGAGTTGTATTGAACAGAGGAACTAAAATTTAAGAATTTAGTTTTTTTTTAATATTTTATACACAAATAAACTGAAACTTATATAAGAAACCATCTGTTGTTTCGTTGCAACTTCAATCATGTATGTCATCTCGAAAGAGAAATAAATGAAGAAATGTCTTGTTATATTTATTGACAAATGGTTGTGAACTATATCTTCATGAATTCCATAAATAGAGTCGAAACAAATTTTTATTTTGGGCTAGATTTCCGGAATTCTTCAAAAAAGGAAGTATATTTATATATGGTCTTATACATACCCTATATTTTATTAATACTTTAAACTTTTAAATCTATTGATTTCTTTCACATTTTTTAAAATCGTATTTTGAGCGAATGTATTCTATACTATATTGCTACATCCATATATAGACCAGGCATCAATAATATTTTGGCCCAGTTTTTTATCGTATGAAGGGAAACAAATTTATCTCTAATTCCTATGCAAGGATGTCAAGTTTAATACATTTCCACCCCAATTTAATTCCATTTTCCTATCATTTTTTATATTTTATTAACTTATTCATAACCTCACTCTCATTCTTAGATTTGTATTAAAGTTTTTTTTCCCAGAAAAAAAAACTAATTTAATTTTTGCCAATTACTTGTTTCCCTCCTCCAAACTCATTAGAAGTTCTTTATTATTTATACAAAGCTTATAAGTTAAAATATAACAACATTTCTGCCTCCATCCACTCTCCAACCTTCACCCTCATTAGAAGTATTTAATGATCAATGGAAACAAAAATTAACAATGAATTTCATTTATAGGGTCTCCTTATAAAGCAAAGCAAAGCAAAAAAAAACTGAAGTAATCAAACAAACACCAAATGCTCCGCTAAAACTCGTGGGAATCTAAATAAACCCCACCCGTTCCATAGAAATGTATGAAAAAAAGTATTTAATGCAGTTGTAGTCCATTACTGTAAACTTCCTGAAGTTGTTCTAATGGCATTAAAGTTTTAATGGCTTCTTGTAAATATGAACATGCCTCCCACCCCCACTCTCTTCATGATGATTCTCCTTTTAAATACAATGCTGTTTTGTTGGTGTTGTTGTTGTAAATCCAAAGAAATGTAATTACATAAATACCAGAGATTTCCTTTATTATCACATTATGCAGGATTGCAAAAAATAGAAAAGAAGAAGAAATAACTAACAAAAAAATCTATTGCTGGAAGGGTATGCAGATAAAAGAAGAAGTCGGTCTACAGGGACCAGAGAAAAAGGCTAGAGGATAGAAAAATACATAAAAGTGCACATTTTGCAATTGTTTCTTTTTTTGAGGAGCCTAAGACAGTTGTATTACTAAAGGGTGTTTAATTTTAGGGGGTAATTTTAATTAGAATTAGAAGAAAAGTTCTATTAAACAAATACAAATGGTCAAATTAAATTCTCGGAAATTAGGTGGCGTATAATTGATTTTAATAGTATGTAGACGTATACGTAAGAGAAATAAAAAAAAGAAGTAATTGAAAAATATTTTCTAAAAATTCAAGCTTCAGCCTAGAGTTTTAATTTTTTTATTTCATGGACCCAAGAGAAGATTCAATTGGAATGTTCAAAAACTGTTATTGAGAGTGAAAAAGTACTTCGACAATTGGTTTGAGAGTACGGTCAGGAAAAAAATATAGTCTTGCGTCGTATAGACTAGACTTGGCCAACTCCATGACTTCTTTTTATTCCCACAAATAATGAAAGAAATGTGTGTTCAGCTCTTTTCGTCATCGGAAGATGATGTTGGAACCTTCAAAAACCACGGTTAAGACACGGAACCGCGAAACCCGCGGAAAACTTCTTCGACAATTGGATTGCTGGAGAATAACAGGTTTGATGATTAATATTTGCATTTTCATTATTAGGGCAGAAATATATATAGTAGTCCTCGAATAATATTTCCTGCAATAATCTCGATGTTCAAAAGGTTGCTTCAGTTAGGACATTGATATTTTTGTAACTCAAGCTTCGTTTACAGAATATTTCAATTATTTCAAAAACAGAATTACTTGGAAAACATTTGTTTTAAAATTCAAACTTCGGTTGGGCCCTTTAAAAAATATTTTTTTCATTTCATGAACCTAAAAAATATTTGCTTTTTCATTTCAACTCCTAGCAAGCTCTAATTTGATTCCTAAATATATTAAAAACAAATCAAGCTTCTGTTAGGGCCTTGATATTTGTTTTACTAATTTAAGATTTTCATAGATCCTTTTTTACAAATTCAAGCTTCTGTCAGGCCTTTGATTTTTTAAAGAAGAAATTATTTTAAAAAGATTCAGATGCAAACGGGTCCCACCTTCATGCATGATCTAGGCTTCGTAAAGACAATATTTTGAGCAAAGTTTAATTCAAATCGTACATTCCATCCTCCTGATATTGGATTTATAAATATTGAAAATTTTGACCATTTTTAGGGGCGGTACCAGAAGGAGTGGAACATCAAGGCTTTGTCCGGACCTGATCATCTTGGCTTGGTAAAGATAATAGTTTGGTTTGGTCCATTCGCATAATTAATTTTTAGCACAAGTTCGACCATTTTGTGGGGAAGATACCAAAAGGAATGGAACTTTGACTAAGTTTGGTATAAATATTACGTTGTGCAAAGTTTGGATGAAATCGGTTACGCCCATTGTCTGAAACGGATTTGGTTCAAAGAAACATGGGGTCTGAAACCAATATTTCGATGAGGCACATTTTTGCCGTATCAAAGTGTCTATACCCTCATTAGCCATAAGATTATGGGTATATAAATTTCTTCTCATTTTGATATAAAACTACAAAATTGTACCTTCGTCCCTAATAATATTACATTTTTGTCATGCGAAAACCACAACACCCTCTCCTCCTGTGTCTTATTCTTTGTCATATTCATTCACCATTTGCATAATAAGTTACGTTTTGTTTTTTCGTTAGTCACGGTGTTGGCTAGAACATTTCCCCAGCTTTAAACGCACACCAACCGACCAACCAACCGACCAACCAACCGACCAAGCAAACAGCTAACTAACTAATGCTTATGAATAAATGCATAGTAAGAAGAAATGAAAAAATGCTAAGCTAGAAATAAAAAACTGCGACAACTGAAACAATTAAAAAATTGTAAAGCTTTTGGCTCTCGGGTAATTAATTGGGGTTGTCGCCTCTTAAAAGTGTTAAATTGATTAGATAATTGATTTGCACGGGCCAAGCTAATTCACAAGGCAATACTTAATTGGAGGAGGAAGAGAAGAAGAAGAAGAGTATAATTCTTTTGTTTACTTACCATATGAAATCTTTGCAATGTGAACAGAATGTGGGCTGCTTGAAGAAGCGCGGTATGAAACAGTGATCCTTGACATTGAAAACGTTTTTCTTTTTGAGGGCTCCCTTGCGCAGACGGGATTTCATTTTATTCTCGCCAACGGCTTCGTCCGGCTGGCCCTGGGCTGCCTGTTGCTCGCCATTGTTTTCGCTGTTGTGTTCGGACATGTTGTTGTTTGTTTTTGTTTATTTGAGATATTGTGGATTCGAGTTGTTGTTTTTTATGAATTATTTTTTTTTTGCTTTTAGTAAATGCAATTTTTGTTGATTTTTTATTGTTGCTGCTTATTTTTTCAGATGTTGAATGATCGGTGCTGGATTTTTTTTTAATTTGTAGTTGTTTTGCACTATGTTGTTGTTGCTGATTTTTTTGTGTGTATGTTTGTTTTTTAATTATATTGGTTTTTTAATTGTCTATATCTCCATTATGGTATTGTGTTATTTCATTCTCATGGGGGTTTTGTTTTTTTTATTTTCTTAATAATTTTTTGTATGCTATCCTCCTAACTAAAAATGAAATATAAACAAATAAAAACAATTTTAGTTAATGTTATTTAACAAAATTTAAAACAATTATTATTATTGCAATTAAAAACATTTAATATGGTTTTCTTGATATATATTTTTTTAATTTGCCCATTTATGGTGTTGTTTGTTTTGTTCTCTATTTGTAATTATCCTTTTCAGACACTTTTAATTTTCTTGTTTCCATTCTTTTAGTTTTGTAATTATGCGTTTTAGTTTTGTTTTTTTGCGTTTATTATTATTTTTACTCTTCCTCTTCGTGGCACCTCCAATGGAGGTTCATTGTTCATTTAGTGTTCGCTCATCATCATCATCGCTATTAATGAGGCCTTTGTATATTCTGCCACCTTTTTGTTGTTTTTGTTATATTTTCCACTGAAATGCTTTTTTCTATTAGCGTTCTTTTTTTATTGATTTACAAAAGACCTGCACTGCTATCACATAACAACAACCATTTTTATGCGTGTTTGTTGGTAGAGTGCATGTGTGTGTGTGACTATAGAATTGAAATTGTATCTAAAATATGTAATTGAGTTCCAAAAGTGTAAAATTGAAAAATGACAACACTTTGGTATCACTTTTTTATAGCTTAGATTTGTGGCCTTGGTTTGATTTGATGTCTTTTGTTAGCAATTTTTTGTGGCGTGAAAATTGACGCTTAAAAAGTGCTAACATTTTTAAAGATTAAAAGGAATAGAATTCTCATTTTATTAACGAAAGATATTATATAGTTAAACACGACTATTTGGGAGAACAACAATCATTGTTATGGATTTCCAAAGCCCTGGGTATTAATATTTTTAATATTTTACCATTTCGCATTGAAATATTCGTCGGAGACCTCATAAAGGTCAGAGGAAAATTTTATGTCGATTTAGGCATGAATGTCTGTTGGAATCAGTATGGAGATCGTAATATTGAAGATATGCCTTGACACTTCTCCAAATAAATTGACCCTACTTAAGAATATAATTAATTAATCATATTTTCAAGTTTTTATCAAATCTTCCATTCGAAGGGGAAGGTAAAAAACACTTCTACGCAGAAGTGTTTTTATCATGGCCTAGTCCCATAAAAAGGTCCCTTCTCATTTTAGGTGTTTTTCTGGTTCTAGCCTCATTTTCCAAGCAATGTTGCTTCAGAGAATAAAAGTTCACTTTACAGAACATTTTCATTATAACATCATTTACATAATTTTCTTACAAGAGTCCGGCTTTTAAAAATATATGTTCTGTTTATGATATTCGAGATATGGCGCCCAACGTGGTACTCTATATACACAATCATAATATAAACAAATTGGGATAATTATAAACGATTGTGATAAATCTAGCCACCTATTGGCTGCATTTTTGTATTTTTTGGTTCTAATTGGGTAGTTTACAAGCTCACTAAAATCTATAAATATCGGGAAACTTTGAAGTAGTCCCTGTATAACGGTATCTCCCAGATTTCGGTATTTTAGTTAGTGTGACATTTTATATTTTGGATTCTCATTTGGTATCAAATCTGACTACCAACAAGTAAAAAAATTGTCAGTAGGTGTAGCCGACATATATATATATATATATATATACCCTCACCCTATGGATTTATGAATATTGAAAATGTTGACCATTTGTGAGGGAGGTACCAGAAGGAGTTGATCAAACGGATCCCATCTTCGGACTTGATCTAGGCTTCGTAAAGATAATAGGTTCTAATAAGTTTTTTTTTCATATCGGACATTTCGTTAGCCTGATATTGGTTTTATAAATATTTGACCCTCTGTGGGGGAGGTACCAGACGGAGTGGACCATGGGTCCCATCTTCCAACTTGATCTAGGCTTAGTAAAGACAATAGGTTGATCAAAGTTTGGTTCAAATCGGACATTCCAAATGCCTGATATTGAATTTATAACTATTGAAAATTTCGACCATTTGTGTGGGAGGTACCAGAAGGAGTGGACCTATAGGTCCCATCTTCCAACATGAAGAAGGGATGGTAAAGATAATAGGTTGTAAAAAGTTTCGTCAAAATCGGATAGTTCGTTTGCATGTTATTATAAAATTAATTTTTGTCACAATTTTTACCATTTTGGATGAAATCGATTGTTCCCTTCGAGAGTTATCGTACGCCCCAGCCAGCCATACAGATTGACGGACAACGGACGGACGGAAGGACATGTGTAAATCGACTCCAAATTTTCTGAAACGGATTTGGTCCAAAGAAACATGGGGTCTAAAACCAATATTTCGATGCGGAACATTTTCACCGTATCAAAGTGTATATACCCTGATTAGCCATAAGGCTGAGGGTATAAAAGTTGTCAATATCGGACTTCACTATTCGCTATTTTCGGTATGTTCCAGGTCCGATCCCAACCTAAGTGTTTGTAGTTTGATATTTCGTTTACTCCTTGAAGTTCCGACCGATTTTCGAATCGAACATGCATTCGAACATGCTGAAAGAAAAAAATATTTTCACTAAAATAAATTAGTTTGTTATATAAAAGACTATCCTTCTAATGAAAAAATCTTTACTATATCCAAAAAGTTCTAGTGTCAAAGGTGATAGTTCAAAAAACCAAAACAAATAAGAAACGAAATCAACGCAGAATTTATATTTTTTTGTATTGTAATTAATACAACGGCGCCACACAAAGACATTGATAACAGCAAATAGCTAAACATAGACAATGGCAAAATGTTGTGTTGGCCATGTCAATAAGGACGATGACTACAAAGACTCACACACCCGCCCGCACAGAAATAACAACAAAAACAACAAAAGTTAATACATGATGGATGGGTGAATGGATGGATGGCTGGATGAATGAATTGTTGTGGGAATGGTAGGTTATTGGCACTCTTTGGTTTGTCTTCTTTACAAACACAAACCAAAGAAATCCAATACTATGACAAGACAAGACAATAAACAATAGGAAAATCTGCACAATGACGTCGTCGTCTCTTGTCGTTGTTGCTGTTATTGTATCTGTTATTATATCACAATGAGCGCATTCACTTTGTCCTTTTTTAGAATTTCAAAGTTAAGCATAAAATGCAACAGTTTTACAATTGCACGCAAGGGTCTAAATCGCTCATATAATTGACAATTTTCCATGGCATCCACACTAAACCGGTCGCCCTCTCACATAACAACAAAACAAAAATCGAAAAGAAGAACCACCAGCCAGCCAGCCACCACACAATCCAATTTAAATTATGTGACCATTTGTCGTTTCACACGTTCAGACGACATTTCTCCTTTGGGGGGTTAATTTGTTGTTAAAGACTTATCGATTAGACGCTTGACAAAATGCTAAGTTATTTAATTAATTATTTTTTTGTTTTCTTATTGTTGTATTTCGGTTTTTTAACAAATGTCCATTGTCGTTCATCAGTTTCGTAGTCATTGCTCTGCCATTTGATTTCATTCTTTTCGTTTTCATTTTGGGCCCTATTTTCTAAACATCAATTATTTAATTATACTGTCTGGCATTGTTGATTTGTTATTCTTTCTATTTTGTTGTTGCTGATACTGTTGATACTATCGTTCGTCTTTTTTGTTTGTTATGGATATTTATTTATTATTTTTTTCTGTTTTCACAAAACACTCGCCGCGTATCACTCAACGTAACGTTTGGGGATTTCGTGGGCATTTTTGTTTTTGCTAAGAATGCATATTTTTTAATTCCTCAATGGGAAGACACCATCCTCCTCCAACCAGCCAACCAACGTTCTCTTTTGCTTGCCAGAGTCTTGTTTTGTTTAAGTGAATGGGGCTCTTTGTGTATTATTTTTTCAATCATTCACAATTTTCTTTTCTTTTCATTTCATTTTTTTGTTTTTGAGATTTTCTTAAAAAAGAAAACACAACACAATTTTTAACGACAGCGTTAACGTTTACATACACGTCCGTTTGGCTCCACAATTCGCAACGTTGTGAAAAGTTTTTTCGTTGGATACCTTCAATGTACTACGCGTAGAGCGGCAGTCTAAGCAGCAGCAGCAGCAGTAGCACTACGACAACGTTCGTTCTCAGTGTGTGGCAGTCAAAGTGGCGTTTAATGTTGCTGTCTCCTATAGTGTATGGCCCATCAACATCATCATCATTGTGGTCTTTGTCGTGTGAGTGGTGAAAATCTTTTTGTGATTTTTCTCCTAGTTTTTCGTGAGCGTGCTGAGCTTTAAGGGTAGTAAAAAGCTTTCATTCCTTTACATTACTTTTGTCAATACAATGCCACAGGTTTTGTTTGGATTTGTTCTCTCTTGCTCACTTTGTGTATGCATTTCAGATATACTGTGTGATTTGGAGGGAGAATAACGGTGTGAGAATTTCACTCGCTCTCTCACTCAATATCTCCCCCAAAATGTAAATATGTGAGAAATTGGCAAAAAGGGGTTGCTTCGTTGGTTGCCTCTTGGTTAATTGTGGGTTTCTTTAATTTAACATAATGTGGCTGTCGTTGTTGTTGTTTTTATTTTACACTTTCTGTTGTTGTTATTGGCAAAACAGAGGGACTCTCTGTGAACACAACACATTAAGCTTGGTGGACTCTTTTGCCATTGTTGTTATTGCTGCTTTCTTGCACCTTCTGTTGATGTGTTCTTAGTATTGTTGTGCTTCTTGTTATCATGTAATATTGTTGTTGTTGTTT